CATCTCTTGTCTTAGCAACTGCATTACATCCACAGTCACTACAAGCCTATTAGAATCGGGGCATGTTGCCTCAGGAGAGATGCACCTTTTGTAATATTTGTACATAAAGAGCAATCGTAGGGATAATGTTTACTCCAGCAATCGTTTCAATTTTTTCAATTGACAAGCATTGAAGTAACTGAACTATTATTTTTCAATTTAAATATAATATTACTAGAGGTTCTTAAAGTGATTTAAAACTACAAGGTAATGAGATTGACTATGAGCACATTTGACCACATAAATAAGGTTGAAAAAGATAATGAGTAGAAGTAAACAGGTGTATGAAATACCTTGTTGGTACATGAGACTTTGGTATCTCAAAGGTCCATGAATATTGCTTTGGACATTATCAACCCAAATTGCGACATTGCATGGCGTAGGTGCATGCGAGGTTTTGATGTCATTTGGGCTCTCTCATAAAGTAAAATTTGTACTGAATAGGACTAAAACATAAGTTATTTCCCAATGTAGAATTTAAACTTTTTTATTCTCTAAATTAGACCCTGGCTAGGCGCTCAATTGCCCCTGCTCAAGCTAGCACTGCTTTTATACAGAGTACTGAAAAATAAAAAAATTCTACTGGATAGTACTCTCTCTATCCATAAATTTCATTTCTTTTTTACTTTTCATCCGTCTAAAAAACCATTTTAACTTTTTATAGAAAAGTTATTTTTACATATACTAAGGCTCCATTCCGTTCAATTTATTTTTTCTGATCTGATCTGATTTTAATAAGTTTTGATCTGATCTGATATGATCTAATCTGATGTGATTGGATCTGATCTGATTAATTATGATTTGATTTAAAATTCAAATCAATAATTTTGATTTGACTTTATAATAACGTTTGAAAATTGTAAAGATAATTCATACTCCCTCCGTCCCCAATTTGATTACAAATTGCGGGTTATGGAGTAAAATTTTCTACTTTTTGAAATCATTTTATTTACAAATTGGTATATCAAAAAGATATAAAAATTACATATTAAAAAACTTCGTTAAAAGTTCTACAAAACAAGAGATGACAAGAATATTTTATTTTATCAAATACTTAATGAAATCGCGCAAACAAACAAAAGTTGTCGAGAGGAAAGAGAAAAAAATTGTAATATATTTAGGGACAGAGGGAGTATTATAATATAATCAATATTTTTTATTTAATGATTATGTTTTAATAAAATAAAATTAGTTAATGCATATATTATAACAATCATTCATATTATAATGTAATAATAATTTTTATTTTATGATTATTTTTTTTGTGAAATTAGAATATTAATTTAATATTTTAAGAATTACTTCATATTTACATTAGAATATATATTTAATTTATATATACATTAAAAAGTAAATAAATTTAGATAATAAATATATAGAAGAGATAGTATTTTTATTAAAATATCTTATCCTTATAGAAGATCAAAACTTTAGAAACTCAAATTACAAGTAGCTATAAAAATATATTCTAAAAGTACAATTAGATTGACATTGTCAATGTATTTTAAAACTAATTTTTCCGACGTCTAATAATTAAGGATTACTTTCTCATTTTTCTATTTAACCTGTTTCTAAATTGTTTTTTCATTTTTAAGAATAATAATAATAATAATAATAATATAATAATAATAATAATAATAATAATTCTTGATGGGATCTGATTTTTAATAAGTTCTGATCTGATCTGATTGGATCTGATCTGATACGATCTGATTGGATCTGATCTGATACGATCTGATTGGATCTGATCTGATCTGATTCGATCTGATCTGATCTGGTCTGATCTGATCTGATTTTAATAAGAATAAGAAAAAATAAGAAAAAATAAGTTGAACGGAACGGGGCCTAATTCTTATCTTTTACCTATCACATTCATTGATTATTTTTGAAAAGTCGGTACTAAAATACATTTTTCTTAACTCTTTAAAAGTCAATACATGAACAATTTTTCGGGATGGAGGATATATTCATAAACCACATAATTATTTTTTCGCAAGGAAGTGTAAATTTTATACTCTTATTTCTTTTTAATACTTAATTTGTCGCACTTTTTTCCAGTTTATCTAAAACTAATGTCTCATGTGTCTCAGAATTTCTCCCATAGTTTTAAAATCCGGACCAGACCGGATAGTTTGGATCGTGAACTAGCAAACCGGTGGTCCAACCGGTCCAGTTCTTTAGACTGCAATCAGCTTCAAGACAGGCTGAATCACTGTGAACCAGTAAGAACTGGCTGGTCGAACTGATCAGACCCGTTTCTTTTTTTGGCGATTTTTTCCAAAATTTACACAATAGGGGTTTGGACATAAAATCTCTTAGATACTTGGTTAAGTTGCTAACCATCTAACTTAGGGTGCTTTTTGTTACAAGCTAGCTTAAAGTTTCTAAATATTCCATAATGAAAAAAATAAAAATTGTTTAAAGATTTCTTTTCATTATAAAAAGTTTAACAAATACAATATTATAGCTATGTTTCAAACTCAAAATCATTGATATAATTGATTATATTACAAAATGCATACACAGATATTTTATTTGAGTGTCTTTTAATATTAGACAATTTATTTGAAAAAAAAATAAAATCACCACTTCTCTTATAAAACTTTTAATATTATTTTTAAATATTTAAGTTTTTTTACTTATTAACATAACTCAAGTAAATTAATATATTTTTAGTGAAACATTATGATTAATTTACTTACTCTAGGTACATATAATGAGGGAGTGTGCATGTGTGTGTGTGTGTAGGGATTGACTCCAGTGACATGACACCTTACGGTGAGATGACATCCTTCGGTTAGATGACACAAAGCTTATCACTTGTCACTGCAAAGCTCGCCAAAGACAACTCCAAAGCTCACCAAACTGTAAGGCAAAGGTCACCATATTTTTTCAACACTTTGAATTTTTTTTCAAAAAATAAAATCAAAGGAAGAGGTGCTGACTGGACTTTGACTATTAACCGCCAACATTGACCGCAGCCGGCCGCTGCCGCCGGTCTCCGGCAGCCACTGCCAGTCGCCGCCGCCGGACTCCGGCTGCCACCGTCGGCCGTCGTCGATCATGCCGCCGGTCTTTGGCTGCCGCCGTTGACCGGTGGTTGACCGGTGTTGTTATTTTATTTTTAATTAATTTTTTAATTTTTAAAATTTAAAAAACGTGAGTTTTGGGGTTCAAAGTGGTGAGCTTTGCTTTATTTGCAGGTGAGCTTTACATTGGTCATTGTTGAGCTTTGTAGTGTAGTGTGGTGAGCCTTGCGTCATCTAACCGAAGCATGTCATCTCACAGGAGTCAATCCTATATATATATATATATATATATATATATATATATATATTGGTTCTGGTGAGAATGAGATCTTATGAAAGAAATAAGAATGAATCTGGTGCTTTAGATAACGAGATCTAAGGGCTAGGATTGCATCAAAATTAGGTGCACCAAAATGGTTTGAAAATGCATCATGTCGAAATGCACCAAAATCTTTTGAAAATGCACTATCGCAAGATGCATCTAAGCCGCACGATGCATCAGATCCAAAGGCTAGATTTTATTCTTATTTCTTTCACCAAGGTGCATTGTCACTTGAACCGACTCCTACACACACACACACACACACACACAACAACAACAACAACAATAACAACAACAACAACCAAGTTGAATCCCACTACAATAGGGTCTGGGGAGGGTGTGTGTACGCAGACCTTGCCCCTACTCGGAAGTAGGGAGGCTGTTTCCATGAGACCCCCGGCTCAACCTGCACGAAATTATGGAAGGGAACACAGTATAGTACGGGTAAAGCACCAAGTACAAGCAACAAGTACAAGCAATAACAAAAGATTCCAAACAAACACAACACCCTACAAACAACCTCTACACCACCGAGCTCCTATCCAGCTACTCTAATCCTAGTTCTCCAAAGGTTCCTATCTAAGGTCATATCCTCAGTTATGGTGAGAAGTTCTAAATCCTACCTAATGACATTTTTCCAATTCTTCCTAGGTCTACCCCTTCCCCTACTTTCCCCGATAATCGTATATATATATATATATATATATATATATATATATATATATATATATATATATATATATATATATATATATATATATATATATATATATATATATAGGGGCTGGTTCAAGTGAGAATGCACCTTGGTGAAAGAAATAAGAATAAAATCTGGCCTTTGGATCTGATGCATCGTGCGGCTCAGATTGCATTCTTCACTCAAATTTTGAGATAGTGCATTTTCAAAGGATTATGGTGCATTTCGACATGATGCATTTTCAAACCATCTTGGTGCACCTAATTTTGATGCAATCCTAACCCTTAGATCTCACAATCTAATGCACCAGCTTCATTCTTATTTCTTTTATTAGATTGCATTCTCACCTGAACCAAAATATATGTATATGTATATATATATATATATATATATATATATATATATATATATATAATTTCTTTAAAAATTTTCAAATTACTGGTTTCACTAATTGAACCACTGATTCGACCAGTGAACCAATACTTTGATCGATTCAGTCCGTGTGATTCTGAAAAGCATGATTTCTCCCGTTTACCAAAAATTTTCTTGCCTCGAGCCCAATAGGTGTGTAGGGGTGGAACCGTGGAAGGAATGTAGCGTAGGGTTGTTGCGGTCTGTTGTCATTTGAGCCGTGTTGGACTGTCGTGAAAAATGAACTTTTGACCGCGAGGTAAACGGGGAGGACCCCGGGGGAAGAGAGAAAGCGCATCAAACTTCGAGCAAAATTCCAAAAAGTAAACCAAACCGGTCTGCCCCTTCGACCGTCTCGGTCACATGATGCCCTGCCCTGTCTCTGTTGCAGACAAATTTCTGCCAGCAAAACTCCATCCCCTTCCAAATCTCTTCTTCCTTTTTCTTCATCGCCATTAATGCGCTTTTATTCTCTCTCTCTCTCTCGCTCGCTTCTGTGGGATGAGATTGGCACTTTTACCTCCTTGCCCATGATATAGAGCATCTCCCAATCACCTTGGCAAATACTTGCTGGTTTTTTTTTAATTATCTCCATTTTGGATTGTGTAATCCCCCCCAAGAGTTACTGGTTCTTTCTTGAGAAAACTTAGTCTTCCTACTCATTCTTGGTTGCTGATCTCCTGACTCCAGCTGCCCACTGAACCAGTTCATCGAAGGTGAGCTTCTCTAAACCACCCACTGTTGTTATTCATTCTTTTCACATGTATACCCTTCTTTTCTTGATTTTTGGTTTTCTTCCCAGTTCCCGCACCTTTGTTCTTGATTGTAATGCGGAAAGATTAGATTTTGTTGATTTCAATGGAGGGCATTATTGACTTGCATTATATTCTTCACCCCAGAATGAGAGATTGTTATACCTTAGCTATTATTTGGAATAGGAATAGAAAAAAGACTAAATCTTTACATATGGTTCTATAGAATTAGTGGAAAGTTGTCGAGTTTGGGATTATTTTCTTTTACATTTTGAAACCATCCAGCTTTTGTGTTCAGATAAGATGAAATCATTGGTGAGATTTGGCAAATTATTAGAAGCGTGATTTGGGTTATACCTAGCTAGGGTTGAATTATAGAAGGGCATGAGGAAAAATTCTACTTTGTTGCGAAATTCGGGTACGTATACAAGCCCATCAACACCAGAGTATGGCGATAAGCATGTTGGTGGGATTCAAAAAGGTTGGTGTTCTGAGCGTGTCCCCTTACCCACAAACAGTAACCGGAGGAATGTTACTGCAACTGCGTTGATGCCATTTAGTAATAACGGAAGGGCATTTCCGTCAAAATGGGATGATGCCGAGAGGTGGATCACTAGTCCATTGTCGAGCTATGGAGTTTGCAAGACATCAGCTGTTCAACCTCACAGGCATGCCAAGTCGAAAAGTGGCCCCCTTGGAACTCCAGGTCTTATGTACATGCCGAATTTTTCACCAGCAGTTCCCTTTGTTGAGGGTGAAGGAGTTATCAGTAATTTCACTGGGAGTTCACCGTTTACAACTGGTGTTCTGGTTCCTGAAGGTTTATGCATTCATTACAGTGCTGCCATTGATTCAAAGGCCAATTCTATGTGTGCTGATAAAAGGATTGCTCGAGCTTGTAGTGTGCCGGGTCTATCAGATTTGTTGAGCGAAGCCTTCTTGTTACCAAGCTCTCAAGGTATTAGCTTAAATATGTTTTTAGGCCCTCGAAATACATCTTTTTTGTGTCTTTTAGAATCTTGAAAAAAAAATTGTGTAATTCATCTCTGTAATTAGGTTATGGGTTTTGCTATATCCACCCCATTTATGGTTAAATGAACAATTTCGCCTTTAAAACACATAGAAAAGATATTAGATGTTAGCCAACTTTTAAGGGTAAATTTGTTCATTTTATATAAATGGAGTGGATTTAGCCATAAGGGGAGTGGATTTAGCAATACCCTTAGCTTATCGTTTCAGTCACTCTCTATCAACTTCCATTCTTAAAAAAAAAACTAGAGTGGGTAAACATTGACAAACTATTTGACAGATGATAAGCTTGATACGGGGAAGGTTGCAGAAACAGACGATTTGCATGTGGTTTCAAGGAGAGATATGGCAACGCAGATGAGCCCTGATGAGAGTACCCATTCCTCTCCCAAAGAACGCTTGTCATTGCGTTCCTTTCCTCTCCCAATCCCCATAGCCGATGAACAGAACAAACACTTTCCTAAAATGGAAATCAGAGATGTACAAGTGGACAGAGGTGACTCCGTTTCCAACCACAGATCAAGAAAACTGGAGAAAGGGTCACCAAATGCCTTTGACTCGTCACCTTGGAACAATGTTGATGCGACAACAAGAAGTGTAACGAAGTATGCTAATTTACTATCTATCTGAAATCTTATTTTCTTTTTTTTGTTCGCTCTTAGTTCTTTTTGAAAAACCATCCTCTGTGGAACACTATGTATTTTGACATATCCCCACACTTTCTTGATTCGAAGGGAGGAAGCTAGGATCAGTGCGTGGGAGAATTTGCAGAAGGCAAAAGCTGAAGCAGCAATTCAAAAACTGGAGGTGTGTTTCGGAATGATATAATACCAATTAGGATGTTTGAATTCAAAGAAAAATTCAATCTGAATCTATTTTGTTAGTATTCCCATCGTCCCCTAAAGAACTTTTCAGTTTCCTTTTTGCGCTGTCCTAAAATGAGGTATCATTTTCCTTTTTAAAAAATGAGGTATCATTTCCTTTCAAGGAAAGAGTTTTGTGACTCAAAACTCTTTCCGTTTCCTCTGCATAAATCCTAACCGCACAATGAAATGCACTTTCAGATGAAGCTCGAGAAGAAGAGGTCGGCGTCTATGAACAAGATTCTGAACAAGCTAAGGTATGCCCAGACGAAAGCCCAAGAGATGAGGGGTGCGGTTTCTGAAAAACACGACACAAAGGCTTCAAACAAAGCCGTGCCCTTTGGGAAGCGTTTTAAGGTCTCGTTTGGCAGTTGTTTTTCTTGCCATACCGTTGTTTAGATCCGGCTCTCAAACTTCTTCAACACTATTCATTCTTAGTGAGAGATGTTGCAGGTAGCCCACATCAGTATGTGTCTCAGTTTTTTGTACCAATTTTGTATAAACTGATCTGTGTACATCATGAGACCATCATGAATATGATATTGGGGAACTTCTTGTGTACCATCTGTGATCTGACCCTTAGAGCTCTTAAGGCGTGTTTGGTTCAGGGGGTAGGATATGGGAGGGGAGCTAATTATGGTCAAATATGAACATTAAAATGATTAGACAAAACAAACAATAGATGTACTGTGACATTTCTATTCATGATCAGGTGCATTTAGCAATTAAAAAGGTCCATTTACACCTGCATCAAATTTGGGTGTAACTTCTCAACCGGATTAATTAAATGAGTTGACGCGTTTAACTTAATTAATTAAATGAGTTTTGTTTGGATTGCAAACTCAAGAAGATGAATTAAACTCAACCTGTTTAATTAAAGATAATTTATTTAAATAGGACAAACATAATGACTTTCTTAATATAGGACCATATGTATTTATTTTCCAATGTAGGACTATTGATTATTATCTATTAGCCATTATTCAACTAAATGTCCAGCATTACTTGGACATTATTCTTCTCACTAGTTATTATTAAGTCCTATTTAGAGAATAAAAAAGTTTAAGTCCTACATTGAAAAATGGCTTATGTTTTAGTCTTATTCAGTGCAAATTTCACTTTAATTAAATGGTTTTAAAAAACTACCTGAGAACCTAAACACAATAGTGCTTATACTCCATACAGCCCTCTAAACTTTAGCCTTTAAACTAGGGCTTTCGGATTGGGTTAAGATGGTTGGTGGTTTTAGTGGCATCGGTTATTTTATGTGAATAGATTTACTTAGATCAGACAAGAATTTTAGAAGACATTATTAACAAATTGGGTGGTGTGGAGACGTGGAGTGCACGTTCGTTGCTTAATGGAAATTCTTTAGATTTTTTTAAACAGATTAAGATAAAGAAATGTTTGAATGTAAGAATAAACAAATTTGAATGTTAGATTAACTCCCAATACCCTTTGTGAATGAACACATTCATTCGCAAGTTTAATCTTAAACATTTGAATGTTTCGCCATAAGACTGCTTCGTGTAGAAACCCATTGAAACACAATGTTTAACAATAATTGTTAAAAACATTCAAATGTTATGCGTAAAGTTGTGTTGTTCCATTAACAGATGTTCCATTGAAAGACAATGTTTAACAATAATTGTTAAAAACATTCACAGTCTTAGGGTATGTTAGAGAGATACAAAACTTCCATACTAGGTCTAGGTACTAACATCTTATCCATACTATTTTGATATTCACTGAAATAATTATAATTTGAAAGTGATTATGCAATTCGTTTAATCTATCAAGTTTCTTCACGTTTGTTTGTATACTATTTCTTATAACTTTGCTACGCACCTTTATCGCCCCTCTTAGATTTCCAACAAGAATTGTTTGACCATGACCAAGAATCCTTCTATTCGGGCTATGTTACTAGAATCAAACTAACTCGCGGTCACACCGGTTGGATTGGGTACCGGTATGCTTTCTAGGTGAATCAATCCCGAAATTCCCTTAGGCCGTTAACTGTTTGGAATCAGCTGAACTAAAAAAATTGTGAACTGCTCCAAATGAAAATTTGCTACTTTTTAAATATTATTTAGGTAAGAAAATATATTAGTATTTTAATTTTGTGCATCCTTATTATTACTTTGTACTCCCTCTGTTCTAGATAATACTTCTCCTTTCATTATTTCCACTTTTAACAAAACACTTCAATTTTCTATTAAAAATTCACTTTACCCTTACTTTTTCATACCCTACCTATTATATCATACTTTTTTTCTAATAATCTATTCATCACATCTTACTTTTACTCATCACATCAAGGGCAAAATTAGAAGTCAACTACAATTTCACACTTCCTTATTTTTACACTTGGTCAAACTAGGAACCTTTTTTTAGAACAAATGGAGTATGAATTGGGCTACTCTGTATTAGTTTATTACAAAGGTTGTTAAGAACAAAAATAAAATTAATTCAATAATAATTAAGGAGATCAATATTTGTTTGACCTCTAATAAGTAAATCCAATTCTAAACATTGGTATACATTCTTAATGAGGGTATATATTTTAAAGATATATGAAAGTATGTAATTTTTGTACATACTTCATCATAATTACCCAGAAGCTAACCAAGCAGTACGGTAAACTTCCAGGTAAGAAGAAGGTGTTTTTTACAGAACTCATCACAAGAGTTCCCTAACATATTACATTCATCAAGAGTGGCATGGTTGTCTTGTCATCATCTCTTTTACTTTATCAGCCTCCTCCATCCAACAAGTGAGAATTTGAATCAAAGACTGGCTATTTTTTAGCTACCTTATTAGGGTAGGTGAACTTCTTCTCCTTCGTACAATATTTCCGTGAGTTTCTCAAAAACTTTAATCCTTCCATGAGATAGATTGTTAAACCACTCAAATGGCCTACCTCGTAAGGAAGAAAAGAAAAGTAAGTATTCTTTAGCATTAGTGTAACCCGACAACCCGTCATGTGGGCATATTGTATACAAAGTATCTAAGTGGATATCCATATCTTCTTTCCCGGTAAACTTTTCCAAATCCAAATTGATTAAGAGCTAGAACAATGTGATATATTATATAAACTCATTAAATTAAGAAAGTCTTGAAGTAATCCAATCATAAAAGTTATTCTCCACTTAGCACTCATATGGATTCAAACATAAGTCCCATGCTTAACAAAGGTAAAGCTATATTTAAACTTGAATACTCTAGGGCTATTGGTTGTTTAATGTATGTCACGATTAGTACAAGACTTGACATAGTGTATGTTGTTGAAAAGCTATGTTTACTAGCAATTCAAGTACACATCATTGGTAAGTTATGTAGAGAGTATTCAAATACTTGAGAAAAACCATGGACTATGGTTTGGCATACTCTAGCCATCCTTCTGTTCTTGAAATATTTTTTATGCGAGTTAGATAAAAAAACAAGAAAGATTACTCCTCACCCAATAAATGGATATTTGTACTTAGAGGAGGAGCTTTCTATTAGGCTTCAAAGAAGCAAACTTTCATTACTGCCTCATCAATGGAATCCGAGTTTGTTATTAGCTTCAGCTGGTAAAGATGTTGAGTGGCTAATAGATTTAGTAAATGAAGTTTCATTATGGCATAATAGACCTAGGTGTGATAGCGATTTTGCTTTAGCTAAGGCTTAGAATCAAGTGTATAATGTTAAGTCAAAACACTGGGGTGTTAGACATATCATGATTTGTGAACTTATCAAGAATGGTGCGATACAAGTTGAGTTTGGTAGAGCCCAACGCAATATAGCCTCTCATCTAACCAAATGGTTATGAAGAGATCTCATGCACAAATTGGTTAAGTGGAATCCATACGAAATCTCTAATGTTTGGATACAAAATTTCCACCTAATACAATGTTAGATGTTGAATTCAATGTGGAAAGCTTAACATCTAAATATTGAAACATATATGTAATATTATCTCAATGTATGTGTTTAGACTTACAAGTTGATGAGTTGAGGTTGAAGTCTAACATCGTTGATGGTTATTTTTAAAATTTACATATGCAAGTGTAAGAGCTAAAAGATCTACCTATATTTCTATGAGTCTTGCCACATCAAGAAGCTTGGATTTAGATTTTATATGCTCAGTGAAGGATAGAAACACATGGGTAGTAAAGTATAGCATCGAACACATGAGTATGTTAAACTTATGTGTATATTATCTTTATATATCTAAACGTATCCTCATGTATTTAAATGAATATAAAAGGTTAAATATTTAATGACATCCTGATATTCAAAGATATAAAATGTATAATATACTAAGATGAAAAATTCTATTAGCCTTGGTTTGCTAAATCTTGTATTTTGATGTCAGCAAACAATTTATGACCTAATGCTTGTTTTAGTGTTTCAGGTACAACAGGAATCCATCAAATATCGGCTCTAAAAACGAAGTTGAAATAGGTAGAATATGTTTAGGACCTTCTTATAAATAGGTAGAATATGTTTAGAACCTTTTTAGGTAGATATGAATGTAATGATATGATTTTATACACCTTTATTCACAAGCTCAAATGCACTAAAACATATGTTTAAAACCTTCTTACAAAAAGTTTTTAAATATGCAAAACAATTTTAAACTCAAACAAAAAAAATTTAGCAAAAAATGGAAAAATTAGTTCAATAGCTGGTACTGTAATACCCTAATTTGAAACTAAATAGATTGCGGGAAAGAAAAGGCTCAAAAGGATTGATAGTACTACTCATACAAATGAGGTGCATCTTCTTTTCGAGAGCTCATCACTTAGAAACTCCAAAGCTAAGCGTGCTTGACTTGGAGCAATTCTAGGATGGGTGACCCCTATAAAGTTCCCAGGGCGCGCACGAGTGAGGACGAATTACATGGGAAAAACTTGTGTTTGTTTGTAGGGCCAGTCTACAATTCTATGAGCGGATGCTTATGGCAAGGGTGGGGGCTGGGGTGTTAGAAATGGTATCAGAGCACCTTGCGACCGTGACGTGCCAACAAGGTTTGTTCACATAGCAGGGAAGATCCAGAGGGGGTGAATCTAATACCCTGATTTGAAAATAAATGTATTGGGGAAAGAAAAGCCTCAAAAGGATTAATAAGACTACTCATACCAACAAGATACATTTTTTCGAGAGCTCATCAATTAGAAGCTTCAAACTTAAGCATGCTTGACTTGGAGCAACTCTAAGATGGGTGACCCCCTTAGAAGTTCCCAGGGCATGCACAAGTGAGGACAAAGTACGTGGAAAAAACTTGTGTTGGTTTGTGGGACCAATCTATAATTTTATGCGCAGAGCTTATGGCTGGGGGGGGGGTTGAGCTGTTACAGGTACCTAGTCTACTACCCCCTATTGCCGTAACGGTATGCCCTATTATCTGGACGATAGCCTAATACCGCTTGGCGCAAATTCTGCTAGAGCCAAATGGCTTGTGCTGGTACCAAAAGACCGCCATACCAGTACCCCACGACCTTAGGTCCGGTACCTGGCTACCGTCTGTCTGGTACTTTGATACCCTTATCATTGGAAAAATTTCCAAATTCCGGATCTCAAAACTAATCACTTTTAATTAATCAAAATCTATCCTAATTAATCCCCAACGGCTAATTAACATTTCCCCTATAAAAATGGGCTTAATCGTTCATAACTTAACATGAATCCAAGCTTCAAACTTCATATTTTATA